GAATATGATACGTGATGTGGACATCAACATCAACAAATCTATATTTTTAATAACAAAGAATTTGATTATTGGTAAGCTTTTCCCTAACAAGTCACCAAAATTAAACATCAGGAAGTGTAGTGGTACAAATAGATAATCCTTTTGATAACCTGATTTTTCATCATCTTTTGCTGTTGACTTGATAGAAGTTGTGATAGATGGAAATAATGATAGTGTGATCATGAATACAAATATTATTGAATATACTAATCTAATTATTCTGATAAATGTGATGTTGAATGATTTTTTATTTAATAAAGGCTTTTCTTCATTATCTTCTTCCTCAATTATAATATCAATGTTTTTACTTTGATGATGATACAAAAACAATGGTAATTTTGTCAATATGGCATATGAGATTAGTGAAATTATGAGAATTATAAATGCACTTAAAAAATAAATAAATGCACTATTTGATAATTCCAAATCATCATCATTGTTTGTTAATTGTTTAGGATTCAAAACACTGACAATTTGTGAAATTGACACACCTAAACCAACCAATCCTAGTAACATTCATAATTATAATCATTATTTAAACATTTATATAATATATAATGGTTAAATAAATAAAAATACAGTACCTTGACCACTAAAACATATATATATATATATAATATGTTTACTATTAATATTCAATTATTATAATATCATTATTATATATTATATATAATTATTATTAATTCACCTCATAACAGCCTGAGTATATTTAGGTGAAATTTGAGCAGTAATTCCAAATATATCATTTTGTAAATAAGCAGTTGTTACACCAGATATACCAACCAAAAATATAACAAAATAAAAATATACTGTAGGTGAGACCAAATCCGTGTTTCGCGTTGATAGTGATATTAATAAAAAACTAATCACCGAAGTTGCTAATGATGTTATTATTCTAAGTGATGTATTTGACTATATATTATTAAATATATTTTGTGTTAATATTTTATTCTTGTTATTATTAACATCATTATTATTAAGAAATTTATAACTACCCTTTTGTGAGTAAATAAAGCTAATACAAAAAAAATAAAACTAATGATCATAAAAACAAATGAAAAATAATTTTGGAAATTATTAACATAAGGTGATCCAACAAATCTAGTATGATAATATACTGAGGCTGTAATGAATACTAAAAACAATACAATATACCAATATTAATTAATAATAAAAATAAGATTGTTATTAATATTAACACCATAATAATATATAATATTGATTTAATACCAACCATTCCACGGTAAATGCATTGCAATTCCTTGTAAAAAAAAAATACAATAAATAATATTGTAATTATCTTCAGGTGGAATAATGCTGTCTTCTTCAATAACTACTGATTCTTTGATACTTTCTACTTGACTGTTATTACTGCTACCAGCTGTAACATTAACATTTTCATTAATTTGCGACATGATGGATGATAATGGAAAATTTTAAATTAAATTCGTTTATACGTGTATACAGTAAGTAGATCAACTAATATTAATAAGTGGAACTGGTATAAATGTTAACAGCAAGCAATATCATTCACTATTTAACTGATTTTTCAAAATGGCGGTCACAAAAGTATCACATATCTCAACAATTACACAACATAGTTGAATAAAATTGGATTCATTCGAAAGCTTTATCATTTACTTTATTAAATAATAAAAACAAACATTGCAAATTTCTGTAAAGCTAATTCATATATTTTTTTTAGAACTTTGCTAAATTTTTGTCCCTAAAATTTTAAGATGGAATTTTTTAATGATAGCTCTGACACAAGCATATACATAATAATTATACAAAAAATTATACCAGTCTGTAGCAAAAGTTCCGGAGATTATGTATATAAAGTTTCACACTTTCAGATTTTCTAGAATTTTGTCAATTGAAAATAAAAGGAATTTAATTATTTGAAAAAACCATTCAGATGTGTAAATTATTTAATAATTACTCTAAAGCCTACATAACAATATACTTCAAAACTTTTCTATATTATAATCTAAGCTCTTCCAATTCTCTGGTATAATTTTTTATTACATAATTTTGGCTACTTTTTCATTAAAACAATATTTTACAAACCGCCATTTTTTTTAAACACACTGTATATAAGTAATCAATCTGGATTTAATGTACTTGAATAACTTTTCTTGAATGATAGCAAACTTTGGCTTGAGAACAAGTTTCGACTTGATAAACCATATCAAATAAAACCCCGTGTTATTCGCTAGTAATAGCACATTTAGTCTAATCTATTCTAATTTGCTTTATTCTTATTTTCTCCAATTATTGCGTGGGAGTTGATGGCAATAAAGACTACCGCTTATTTAGTTGATGTTATACTAACCGGGAACTTAAAATGAAAAGAAATTAACAATGATATTAAAAACCAAAGATTATTCGTTTATACCTTATGTAATATAAAATTTCCACGGAGAGTTACTATAAATTCATACAAAAAAAATCACCAGATTAATTAAAAAAACGAAAGTATTAGTATGTAATATAATTGGCTTAGAAAGTAATACAAGAATTTTAAAGAATGTCAAGTATTTTGAAACAAGCATATGGTGATTTGTAAGCAATTATCTTCTTGTCTATTTATTTTTTAATTCGATTTTTTCCATTACCGATCGACCGACCATTCAAAAGGGTTTGAATTTCCGTGTTAATATCAATCGGTCCTAAAAATTCCAAAGGTAAACTTTTTGATCAACATCGATTATTTTACGTTTTCTCGTCGAGTTTGAGTTAACCTTTTAGCCAAACTTGTCGCTTTTATATACAATGCTCGTCAATTAATTTTACGAATTTATCCCTCTTTCTTAAACTTTGGTGAATCTGTAAGCACAATTTATGGTACAAATCACAACGGATTACCATAAATAAAGGTAGTCCTTCTACAAAGCAACAAAGGCTTCTATAGAGTTTCTACTTTAATTTTCTTTGGCCGATTAAAGTCTGCCGTACGTTTACAACACGTATATGCTTGGAGGTTAAGACAATACAATGGAAATAAGAGATATTTATAAATGGTCCACTCTCAGTAATATTGCCTTCTTCATTTATCATGTAGCATCCTTTAAAATAAAAATAAAAAGTTGCTGTATATAAAAATGCTTTATAAACCACCATCACCATTGTTATTATCATCATCATCACCACCTCTATGGAGTTCATTGTTATCACTACTTCTACTACTATTGCTAGGGTCAGTTATTTTAAATAAGTATCCTTGGTTAAAATAACACATGTGATTGATTGATTACCAGATGACTTATCAGATAAACATGTACCTAATGTGCTTCCATTTTGGCCTACCGTAAACATCCGTTATGTATCTGATTTCTACTTTATAATTTTTATTTATCATTTAAAAAATGACCTATATTCAAAAGATTATTCAAATGGGAACATCTTTCATTCTAGTGATTATATAAATCATAAATCATTAATATATTACCAAGGATTTCGGATTTTACTATTAATATTAACGATTTTATAATGTCCCATCTGTTAACTTATACAAATAAAACCATAAATATGAACCTCGTTTACATCAGATCTACCATGGAAACCCAAGAATTTATAGTACAATCAGAAGTGTTTTGAAGAAAGAACATGGTGAAAAAATTGTCCCTTATGTCTTCACTTGAAGCTTAGAAATATTCGCTGCCAACAGCAACACCGCCATCATCTCAAAAACAATATTGGAAAGAATTGTATCTAGTAAAGTAGATGAGAAGTTAAGAGGCAAGTTAATGAACAATTGCTAAAACAGGCTATTCGTATCTCAATAGCGATCTAATTTGAACGATTTGATTAAAAGAGCTGAAAGGTGAACGAAAAAAATTTTTGGGAAGATATATTAAACGGGAAGAAGGAAAAATTTTAAAGAAACTATCGAAGAAATTTTTAAAGAACCAAATGAAATAACAAGTAATTCTTTTTCTTAGAGAAAATAATTCTCATACACCCAATTGTTCAGAATTAACCAAACAACATGGTAACTTATAAATATTTTTGATGTTTTAAAAAACAATTTTTAGAAATTCTTACAATAATTTAAACAGTCTTTCTTTCACTACATGTAAATAGAAAGATCCTTGATTACTACATAGAAATATTTGTTAATAGTAATTAGTGATTCTGTAAAAAAAATTTAATTAACGCGAGTAAATGTAAATATTAACATAGTTCTTATTTTATTACTAATTTAATTTCAGCATTAATTACTGAAAACTTTTAGTCAATTTGCTTTTGGGTTCTCCGTGATTTTGCAACAAAACCAGACAAAATGAACACTTTTGTTACCAGGAGTTTCGGGGATCAAAGTTTTAATGAGGAGTGTAATGCTTATTCTAAAAAAAAATTCTTCGGTTGAGCCATGTTAGCATATTAATTCAATCTAAACGAGAAAGCAAAGAGTCGGATAAATTTTCCGTTTCAGGGATAGAAGTGGTAGAACCCATTTCTTTATTAAAATAATTCAGCGTTTTAAATACTGGTAAATAAAGCTTCTTTCGAGACTTGATTTCTACCAATTCTTTCGATATTTTTAAAGCAAATGATGAGAAATCCTCTTTTTTCAATAAATTCTTTGTTACGAATATTATTGTAATTTTTCTTTCCATAAACTCTGGGTTTTCGTGATTGTGCTGATTAAAATCAATTAAATTGGTCTTTTAAATGGGCCAGTTCTTGGTTGTATTCTTCCCGACTAGTAGGTTAACTTATGGACATTCTCTCCTTTTTTTACTATTTGCTACATCCCTTTGTTGTTTTTTCTTTTTCAAGGGATCGTGCGTGATGAAAAACTTTTATTTTTAATAAATAAAATTTAAATAAAATATTACAGAAATTGGAAATTTTAAAGAATTTTTGGAGGTCAGATTTCAGTTATTTCTTTGATTTTTTCTTTTTTCTTTTAGGATCAAGTTCTATAATAAAAGAAAATTTTTATATATAATTAATCAAAAATAAAATTTAAAAAAGACTTGAATAAAAAATTCTTTTGAAGTTTCACCTTTTTCATCTTTACCATCATCTTTACCATCATCTTTACCCTCATCTGAACCGTCATGTTTACGTTTTGTAGCTTTTGATTCTTTTTTATCCTTTTTATCCTTTTTATCCTTTTTATCTTTTTTCTTTGATTTTTCGGCACTTTTTGAAGTCTCTCCGTGCTCTTCCACATCTGCTATTTGCACCGATTCTTTCTTTTCGGTCTTCACTTTACCAGATTTATCCTTTTTACTTGACGATTTAGATTCTTCTTTATCCTTTTTACTTGATGATTTAACGGATTCTTCTTGTTCATCATTTTTAGATTTTTCTTTCCCCTTTTTACTTGACGGTTTAGATTCGGCAGATTCTTCTTGTATATCAAATTCTTCTTTGCGCTTTTTACTTGACAATTTAGCTTCAACAGATTCTTCTTGTTCGTCAGCCTTAGATTTTGCTTTGCGCTTTTTATTTGATGATTTAACTTTAGCAGATTCTTCTTGTTCATCAGCCTTGGATTTTTCTTTATTCTTTTTACTTGGCGATTTAGCTTTGACAGGTTCTTCTTCTTGTTCACCAGTTTCAGATTTTTCCTTGCTCTTTTTACTTGACGATTTGGCTTTGACAGGTTCTTCTTCTTGTTCACCAGTTTCAGGTTTTTCCTTGCCCTTTTTACTTGACGATTTGGCTTTAACAGGTTCCTCTTCTTGCTCACCAGTTTCAGATTTTTCCTTGCTCTTTTTACTTGACGATTTGGCTTTGACAGGTTCCTCTACTTTCTCACTAGTTTCAGGTTTTTCCTTGCCTTTTTTACCTGACGATTTAGCTTTGACAGGTTCCTCTTCTTGCTCACCAGTTTCAGGTTTTTCCTTGCCTTTTTTGCCTGACGATTTAGCTTTGACAAGTGCCTCTTCTTGCTCACCAGTTTCAGGTTTTTCCTTGCCTTTTTTACCTGACGATTTAGCTTTGACAGGCTCCTCTTCTTGCTCACCAGTTTCAGTTTTTTAAATCTCCTTTGGAATGAAATTACCTTGAACATTTAAATAAGTTTGATTTTCAAAATTTTCTAATCTGTCAATAAAAGATATTATTGACATGTATAGTGTAGGAGGATTTGCATAATATGGATATTGTATTTGAAATTCTGGTGGTACCTGATTTTTTATTTTTTAAAAATTTCCCAAAATCTTAATAAAAAAAGAAAGGGAGATATATATAACAATTAAAGTGACAATTAAATAAATATTTACCTTACTACGTGCTTCTTCACCTAATATTTGTTCTCTAGCAATCCAACCATCATTATCAATTAAATTGACCCAATTCATTGTGATATCTAAACTATATGTCGAACAAAAGCACGCGGTACATGTATTTGTGCGTGTTAAAATATATCAAAAATAAAATCTTTTTGAAAAAATATTTATTAAATTTGCCTAAGATCATTATCCCATTGACCAATCAAAAGTTGATGGAAACCTTCATCCCTAAATTATTTTAGAAATAATAAAATAATTTAGTTAACAGTGATTTAATAATAAAGGATGATAATTGAAAAAAAAATTTGCAAAAGAAATATCATTACCAATAAAATCCACGAGGGAAAAATGATCTAGAAGGAGTTGCAGTAAATAAACTTGTGGGTAAAGTTAAAGTTGGATTAGATTTTTTTAATTTCTCCCAAAAATTTTCTACTTCCTCCATATCATCTTCGTCACCACTATATGTTCTGTCAACCATACTAGATCCATAAAAGTATCTATATAACAAATAAACAAATAATTTAATACTTAATATTTTATACTCAAAATAATTAAAATAAATTATATTTTTTGATTTAGAAAAAAATCTAACCCAATCCCTCCTAATAAATTGCTTGTAATTGATTGAGCAAATTTAATTTGATTACTATTAAAACCTTTTTCTGTTAATTTAAAAGTGTTTTCAAATCTCTGGTCAAATTCTTTTGAATTCTTTTCAACTAATACTCCCAAATTACCAGCTAAAAAATATGCAAAAATTAATCAGCTAGTCAATATTATTATCATTAAATAATAACAAGTAACTTATTGTTGTTAACTTACAGTCAATATTTGTGGATGACAGATCAGATTGATAAATTATATCAAACTATAACATATATTATGTGTGTGTATATATATATATGAGTGCATGTATATGATATTCTTTATTTCAATAAAGATATAGATTTTTTATTTATTTCACTTAATGTTGTTTTACCTGGAATGATCCTTCAAATATTTTTTGAAATGCATAAAAATTTGAATCTTCTTCAATTAAATTATTTAGTAAAAATGAATAATGTGGTGGTGGAAATTCTTCATTAGAATATTTCTCTTTTATTATTTGAATTTTTTTTGTAAATTTATTAGTGCTATATCTTTAAAATAAAAAATGATGTTAATAATCACAATCAATAATAATAATAATAATAAAAACAACAATAATAAAAACTACAATAATTCATTCATTCATTAATTAGTTAATTAATTAATTTCTAATACTCTATAATTTTGTAAATCATAATTTATACCTTTTGCTTTCCATAAATCATCGTCAGATATCAATTGACCAAAAAATTGTGTTTTAGATATATCAGCAATCTCATCATTATAAATTGGATTGATTGTTGGACTTTGATTATTTGAATCTAAATAAAAATTAAACATTTTATTAATAATAATTTTATTTTATTTTAATAATAAATCATGTATAATTATAATTATGTTAGTGTAAATAATAATATAATAAATACCATCCACTATTTTAATATTAAAGTTGCCAAGGTCAGGTGTTTCACCCTTTAATATAATATAATCATCTAATCCCTTTAATATTAAAAATTAATTAATGAACAATAATAAAAAAATTATAATATTTTACATACACACTAAATTATAATAAATATACCATTTTATCAATTGGATTGATCAGATCAATGTATCCTTCACCCTCAAGAGCAAAATAATAAAAAATTGAAGTTTTTGAAGGTTTATCTTGTTTAAAAAACAAAAACAAAAACAAAATATCGTTTTAAATACCAAAAATTATTCTCATCAATAAACCAACAATATACATTAAATCTTTAGTAGTTACCATAATCAATAGGTTTGCCTGATATTCTTACAGCCCAATCACCACCTTATTTACGACAATGATATCGATTAATAAATAAAAGAAATTACTTTTCACAATTTGTTATTTATATTCACCTTTTCCACCACCATTGGAAACTTTTACAAATTCAGATTTCAATATTATATTACTGACTTCATC